GTTGTTGTCGCTGGCGTCCAGCAGCTCCATTTTCCTGAAGGACTCAAACTCTTCCCTGGAGAAACCGTTGAGCTTGTTTCTTCTGATTGACATGGCCACTAAGTTAGGAACGGGTGCGGCACCAGGCAAGGCCTTCAGCTGGTTTTTTGCAAGGTACAGCTCTTTGAGAAATGGGAGTTGCAATCCAAACTCCTTCAGGTTGTTAGCGCTAACATCCAAAACTTCCAGCGTTGGGGGAATGCAAGTCGTTAGTTTAGGAATTTGAGTGCTGGAGAGGTTTAAATGTTTCAGGGTTTGGGGCCATTCACACACATCTGGAATATCACCAAAATTATTTTGACTAATGTCTAAGAGAATTAGGTTTCTTAGATGAGACAAACTTTTAACCGTCATTTCTAAGTCACTCAGTGAATTCTGACTTAAATTTAGAGTTTGTAGTGAAGGCCAACCACCCTGACAGGCTGAATGCTCCAAACTCTGGTCTCCGAGCAAATTTGCACTAAGGTCAAGATACTCTAATGACAGAAGCTGTTGTGAAAGTCTGCATGGTACCAAAAACACCTTGGTGTTTTCAACTGTGACTTTGGTAAGAAGAGATAGTAGACCTTGCACAGCATGAAGATCTGTAAACAAATAAAATTCTTCTATAGATAATTTCTCTATTGTCAGAACTCTAAGAGTATGTGATTGGTTTGCTTTAATATGTGTTTGCCATCGTCCAGTTCCCAAGAGTCTACAGTCTATCATCTCCACCTCCACTAACTGTGGCATGTCTTCTAAAATGCTGACAATCTCAGGCACAGTAGCATCTGTTAATAAGGTCTGTTTAAAGGAAATTTTCTTTGCAAAAGAAGACGACATAACTCTGAATAGTTGCATTTCAGCAGGTATACTGAATGCTATTTTTCTCACTTCTAACCAAGTGACAGAGTGCAGAATGTCCATGACAATTGCTGAGAATATATTAATACTTCTTACGTTTATGATCATGTGATTTATCTTCTTAATTAATTTCAAACTTCCTGGCTCATACTGACTGAGATTGCCACCGTCAATCCACAACTTGTCAAGAAACTCAATGCCCTCAAAGTTCCCTTGCCTTATTGTGGAGAACTGCGGGTTGCCCAGGTGGAGAGAGCTCAGATTCCTCAGGCTAGAAAAGGGGGAGCTTTCCCCCAGGTCTCTGTA